GCTCGATACCATACACATTACCTTATAGACAGCTCGATACAATACACATTACTTTATAGAGAGCTTGATACAATACACATTACCTTATAGACAGCTTGATACCACACACATTACTTTATAGACAGCTCGATACAATACACATTACTTTATAGAGAGCTTGATACAATACACATTACCTTATAGTCAGCTTGATACCACACACATTACTTTATAGACAGCTCGATACAATACACATTACTTTATAGACAGCTCGATACCATACACATTACCTTATAGACAGCTCGATACAATACACATTACCTTATAGACAGCTCGATACAATACACATTACCTTATAGACAGCTCGATACAATACACATTACTTTATAGACAGCTCGATACAATACACATTACCTTATAGACAGCTCGATACAATACACATTACTTTATAGACAGCTCGATACAATACACATTACTTTATAGACAGCTCGATACCATACACATTACCTTATAGACAGCTCGATACAATACACATTACCTTATAGACAGCTCGATACCATACACATTACCTTATAGACAGCTCGATACCATACACATTACCTTATAGACAGCTCGATACAATACACATTACTTTATAGACATTCTCACGCAATACAAAGTATATTATCGACAGTCTGACACAATACAAATTACCTTATAGACACTCCCGCACAATACACATTATTTTATAATCACTTCCACACAATGCATATTACCTTAAAGGAATCGCAACAAAATTCATATTACCTCATAGACATTCGTACACAATACACATTTTGTTATAGTCACTTACACACAATACACATTACTTTTTAGACACTCCCACACAATACACATTACCCTATAGACACTCCCACACAATACATATTACTCTATAGACATTCTTACACAATACACATTACCTTACACAAACAGAATACGGAAAGATTGCTATTGCAACATATGAAACTACTAAAAAGGCACAGGAAATTATTTATTAAAAATAAGGAAATTACTTTAGGAGGCATGAGACTCACAGCCCATGGCGATGGCGAGTATGACTAGCAAGTCTTCCACAATGATAGCATGGGATTTCAGGACTATTGTTGTCAACATTTGTGTTTAATCCGTTTCTTTTCAGACGCTCAGCTCTCATTCTTTCTGCAATCATTTCTTCCTTCAGTCTCATTCCCTTCCTGATATGCCCCTTCCCCACAACACGGTCCATGGTATTTTGTTCCCATGAGTCCCCCTCAATACCTGTATCATTTATGTCCCGCTTGCACACATCTTTATACTGTAATAGAGGTCGGCCTCGACATCTTCTTCCTGTCTTTAATTCACCATAAAGGATGTCCTTAGGGACTCTGGCATCCTCCATTCTCCAGGTGTGACCCAGCCACCTGAGCCTTCGTAGACTGAGCATGGAAAAGACTGTTGTAGTACCTGCTCTTTCCAGTACCTCAGTGTTTGTGATTTTGTCCTGGCACTCAATGCCAAGTATTCTTCTTAGGCATCGCATGTGAAAGCTTTTAAGCCGTCTCTCCTGGTGCGAATATGTTGATCAAGTTTCACTGCCACAAAGCAGAGTGCCGAGAACATAAGCCTGATAGACAAGGGTTTTTGTTTTAATTGTAAGCTTTCTGTTTTCCCAAACTCTCTTTGTCAATCTGCTCATTGTTGTTGCTCCTGACCTATCCTGATGTTGATTTCTTGGTCCAGCGATAGTTTACTATTCACTGTGGAACCCAGATGGTAAAATGGTCTACTGTTTCCAGCTCTTCACCGTCAATGTAGACTGTAGGTCTGTCATTACCACCTTGCACCATAACCTTTGTCATCTTTTTGCTGACTGTTAGTTCAAATTCACAGCACGCATCAGCAAAGGCAGACAGTAAACATTGCAGCTCCTCCTCTGAGTGGGTGGTTATTGCAGCAGCATCTGTAAACAGCAGCTCTCTGATAAGTACCTTTCTTATCCTGGTTTTGGCCTTCAGCCTGTGAGCATCGTAAAGGCTGCTGTCAGATCGAGAATGAATGAATATAAGTAAAGTGAAGTAAAGATACCTTATCACGCTTAAGGCGCATCGGGTATATGGGCAGAGCGTCCCAAATTTTTACAGACCAATCGGCACTGGATGGGTAATGTGGTCAGCATTACGCCGGCCGTCTTTACTTCCCCAGGGCAGCCATCCTGGTATCTATTTGAGGCTGGGTCGACCTGCGACGTCCCATACCACAATAAAAATCCACGCAGCCCGCAGTGGGTTTCGATCGCGGTACGTTGAATTACGAGTCGGACTCGCAACGCCTTAGCCAAGGACGCCAATGAATGAATATACCAAAATGAAAATTACCAACAGAACGAGGGAAGTTATTAACAGAATAAAGGGAACTTACAGTACATATTGAAATTTGTAACAGAACACATGACAATTACTAACAGAATACACGGAGATTACTAATAGAACACATGACAATTACTAACAGAACACACGGAGATTACTAATATAACGCATTAAAATTATTAAAAGAACACCTGAGAATTACTAGAAGAACAGATGCTAAATTACCGATAGAAGACCAGTAAACTACTGACAGAATGCAGGAAAATTAATGATAGAACACAGAAAATGTCTGACAGACCACTGAGAAATTACTAACAGGGCACGGGAAAATTATGTACAGAACACATGACGATAACTGATGAAACACGTCAGCATTACTAACAGAAAACAGTGCATTTACTAACAGGATACAGCGAAATTACTAACAGAACACAGTGAAATTACTAACAGAATACATTGAAGTTACTAACAGGATACAGTGAAATTACTAACAGTGAAATTACTAACAGAACACAGTTAAATCACTAACAGAACACAGTGAAATTACTAACAGAACACAGTTAAATCACTAACAGAACACAGTGAAATTACTAACAGAACCGAGTGAAATTACTAAGAGGTTTTGTGATCCGGGCCTGGAGTGGATTGGACGGGTCAACCAGCGCCTGGAGCTCTAGATGGGAGACTAATGAATCCTTGTGACGACAGGGAACTGGGGCCGGAGTCAAGGCACATATGAAGGCAATCGAGTAATAACAAATCCAAAGTCACGTCTTTGGAACCGACAAGGTAAAATGTAGATAGAGAAATTAAAAAGACACGGAGAAAATCATCAGCTACATACGTCACACATTGATGAGGTTAGATACTCAGCCACCCGGTGAACATTTCCTTTAGCAACTACTCAAATTTGGAACACTGATCTGCAACCAGTTTCAAATGCCGTCTGAGAGGAAGATGCAAGATCTACCATCTGATCGGCATGGCTCATGATGACAGTGATTTAATAGTTAAACTATGGGGGTGACTGCAGTCAAGCTAATACAATGAATTCCAGAGAAATTTGACTAAAAAGCTCAACAAAATGGGAAAGAGGAAACCGTGCACAAAAACAACATAACAACGTTTCGGCTGGGCAGCCCTTTTCAATCACAAGTGAAAGACACAGATGGAATGGAGATATGTAGATCTCTAAGGGGTGACGTGTAGCGCTTTACAAAAATGTGATCGGAAAAAATGAAATAAAATCCTCGATGGCTAAAAAATATAGTCACAATACTGGCATAAAAGAAATGCAAGTGGTAATGATACATAAATGATACTGATAAGAAATAGAATAAGGTAATAATATGACGTTAAATAAAAAAATTAACAAAAATGTGATAAGATTAGAACTATTTAGATGAAGGTATGTTGATATTGATACCTCTTGGACTAAGAACGCCAAGGCTGTGGATCAATTTTCAAAGCGAGGCGGGTATGGATGCCAGAGCAAGATTCTAATGCTGTGACAGAATGATCATCTTTACCGCTGTGGTCAGGGCTATTAAAATGAAGAGGGATTGTTTGAGTGTTTTGTATTGTTTAGAAGACACTCAAACCAATCCCTCTTCATTTTAATAGCCCTGACAATGGTAAAGATGACATATCTGTCACTCATTAAAATCTTGCTCTGCGTCATACTACCCGCCTCGCTTTGGAAAATTTATTCAGCCATTTGGCGTTCTTAGTCCAAGAGGTATCAATATCCAATATACCTTCGTCTAAATTCTTTCTAATCTTATCACATTTTAAATGTTAATTTTTTTATTTTATTTCATATTATTACCTTATTCTATTTCTTATCTTTCCTTATTAACATTACCACTTGCATTCTTTTATTCCCAGTAGATTGAGGACTAATTTTTTAGCCATCGTTTATTTTATTAGCTACATTTTTTCCGCATCTGATCTTTTTTTAAAGCGCTCACGTCACCCCTTAGAGATCTACACACTCTCCATTCCTCGTTTGTGTCTTTCACTTGTGTTTGAAAAACTGATGCCGAAACGTTACGTTTTGTTGTTTTCTGAGACGGTTTCCTCAAGATCATTTTGTTGAGCTTTTTAGTCAAATTTCTCTGGAATTCAGTGATTTAATAGTTTATGTTTTATTGTTAATTGAGAATCGACGTCACAGCACTCGGGACATTCCCCCTCTTCAGCAGCAAGGGCAGAGTTCCAATTCCAATGGTACCAGTAACTGTCTGTATATCCGTCTCACCTTTCCCCTGAGAGCTGAGCATCGGCCATTTTCCCTGGTCACTCCTCGCAGCGCCATTCTGCTCTAACCGTAGTGACCTATCTGTGTCTCCGGACTGTTTACTCGCCTCCAAAGGAATTTTACAACATCTTTCTTGTCATCCATCAGTTCAGCATCAAGCTGTGCAGAACTTCCTAGTCTATTACACTGTTCATTTCCCAGGACACCGGCAAACCCTGGAGAAAATATACAAAAGACACTACCTGGTTCCTCTGATCATGCTGGTGATAAGGGCACGAAACAATTTCAGGGTGCCTAGTTGTGTGCTGACACCGGACAAGAAGCTCGTCTCCGAGAGAGGAGAGCTCGCCAGGGGCAGACAAATACGAACACAAACATAACTAAGGACGGCAGCCATGAACCAACAACAAGATCAGGGACAGACCGACCTCATCGTCCAATGTCTCACTCTCGTTCAGAAACTTCGTCACGGCGTCGGCCAGGTATTCAAAGACTTATCCGACGGTGTCAGCGATTATGTTGAAGAGACTACAGAGAAAGAGGACACGGATGGGGCCAGTTCCAAGAACGAGACAACAAGCAAAGACAAAACCGGCTCACAGAAAGAGGTGACTGTCGGCGGGGACAAGGAGGAATCGCAGGAGAAACACAGAGCCATTCTTCGCACGCTGAAAGCATCTTTGGAGACTATCAGCCATGACTTCAGGTTAGCTAGCATACTTTTGTGTCTTGACAATCCACTTGTAGTTGTCTCTGTGTCTGCTGCCTGGCTGTAGCTGTGTGTCAACAAATCTCAATAAAACAAAACAGAACACGATCATATACAGAATACTCATACATACAAGTTATTAACATGTGTTTAAACACAGTCACACACACACAAATTACTGTGTATCCTTTCGCAGCATGTTGCAGAACCAGCCGCCCCGCCGCATGTTTAGACTGTTTGTGATTTTACTAGGAACTGTTGTGTTCAGTAGGTTTTCATCTGCTTAGATTTCTCTTGATACCGTTTGTCAAGATCAGCACACAATAACCTGCTTCCAAATTGCCCACAGCCAGAAGCAACAACTATTTGGTAATTATGAAGCTTGATTCAACCACAATAATGTACAATTTGTATATAATGAAATGTATTTTTAAAGAAAATATAAAAAAATATTTTTTGAATGGTGATGACAAAATGACATCACATAATTTGCTGTATCTCGTCAAGTGCATACTACAATAACAATTACATAGTTGCACATAGTACGTAGTATGCACCTGACAAGATACAGCGAAATGTGCCAGGCAATAAATTGTGCAATCTATTTTTGTGTGTGTCTTTTTTGTTCAAATTTACAACGGGGAAACATTGCTTTGACAATGACATGAGTGCATACTCACATATAAATAACCTTGTCACAGGACAGGCTGTCATGTCAACAGGTTTGTTTGGGCCGCTGGATGACCACCTGTGGGCTGGCAACTTTGGCAACCACATCTGTCATTAGAATGGTGGCAACCACATCTGTCATTAGATTTATTGAAAACCAAAGACTGGAATGCTTTGGCCACCTGGTCAGATTGAAACTTAACATCACCAGTTACAAAAGCATACAATATGAGAATGGAATTTTGAATTAAGAATCGACATCACAGCACACGAGACACCACACCCTCCCCCCCCCCCTCCAAGAGCTCTGTCCCTATCTTCAGCAGCAAAAGGAAAGTTCTAATTCCAATGGTAACTGTGATCCTATATCCCTCTTGCCTTTCCCTTTAGTGTTGATCATTGGCCAGATCCCCTTGTAACTCCTCGCAGTGCCATTCACCATTCTCCTCAGACAGTATTGATCTATCTGCCCCTCTGCACTATTCACTTGTTCCCAAATCACCGCCATGTGGTGCAGAACTGGCCAGTGTATCTGCCTGTTCATTTCCCAACACACCGGCATACCTGGAGAGAATTTTCAAAGGATACTAACTACCCGGGAACTCTGAAGTGATGCTTGCCACTCTGCACGGAGCATACCTGTCTCCACCTTTTTCATAATGCTCTTTGAGTCAGTGACAATCACAGCATGTGTGTACAGCTGATTCTCAAGCCAGAGGAAGGTAGCAATTACTGCCTCCATCTGCATTCTCAAACTAGATGTTGTGATATCATATGCCAGGCTTTGTTGCACCAAGCGACATCCATTCGCCTTTGCTATAAACACCCGTGCACTTCGTCTGCCCCTCAGCACAGAGCCATCTGTGTAGATAATTACGTCACTTGGGCGGGAATTGTTATGAATCATTTGTTGAACTTTTGATTCTGCAGCACCAGCTGGCCAGTCGCTGCACTCACGACCCACAGTGATAGACCCTGCACAAGTCTGAAACTTGCTCGGACACTTTGACCCACTTCTCACCTCGCACAAATTTATCAAGCCTGCACACTTGTCTGATTGTGTCTTCAGATTGCGCTATCCAAGACCTTCCTCTTTTCAGTCTGTGACCCTTAGATCTACCCAGGGCTTCATGCAAGAGGTGTTTCTTGTCTGCAGCTACTCTGAGATATGACTTTGCCCGCAGAACTTTGAGCTTATCTGCAATAGCAGGCAGTGAAAGTATGTATCACATAAATACTTGTACATCCCAGAATTACTCGCTTGGCTTCATTCTGTATGCTTTAAAGTTTCATCAGCTGACTCTTTGATATGGTAAGCATTCTAAGCCCATAATCTGTCTCTGACGTGGTCACATGCTGGAACATTAGGAACAGCATTCTTTGTTCCATGAGAATAGAAACATCAAGAGGCAGAGGAAGACCAAGAAAAAGATTGACGATGGAATTAACAGTTCACCGAAAAAAAGATAGAAACCAGAGACAGTAGATAAACAGGAGACAGTAGATAGAAACAAGAGACAGTAGATAGAAACAAGAGACAGTAGATAGAAACAAGAGGCAGTAGATAGAAACAAGAGACAGTAGATAGAAACAGTAGACAGAAACAAGAGACAGCAGATAGAAACAAGAGACAGCAGATAGAAACAAGAGACAGCAGATAGAAACATGAGACAGTAGATAGAAACAAAAGACAGTAGATAGAAACAAAAGACAGCAGATAGAAACAAAAGACAGCAGATAGAAACAAAAGACAGCAGATAGAAACAAAAGACAGTAGATAGAAACAAAAGACAGCAGATAGAAACAAAAGACAGCAGATAGAAACAAAAGACAATAGATAAAAACATGAGACGGCAGATAGAAACAAAAGACAATAGATAAAAACAGGAGACAGTAGATAGAAACAGGAGACAGTAGATAGAAACAGGAGACAGTAGATAGAAACAGGAGACAGTAGATAGAAACAGGAGACAGTAGATAAAAACATGAGACGGCAGATAGAAACAAAAGACAATAGATAAAAACAGGAGACAGTAGATAGATAGATGTGGCTATAGAACCAGGCTTATCTTGTGCCTGTCAATCACGACCCCAAGTTAAACAGGGAGATTAAATCATTATGACAGACACAATGGCTAGTGAAGATCATCATTTCCTTTGTTTTTGTGTGTGGCTGCTTTAAAATGCTTTCTGATTTATTATATTGTTATGTTTTATCCCAAACTTTGACACAGTGATCTGGAAAAAACTGGCTCTACGATCAATTCTGTGCAGTCATTTTCCAACATTGACAACCTCAGCCTGGACCCAGTAGATAAAAATACAGTAATGCACTCTCAGCTGTTGCAGTCCTACAAGTGGACAAACAAGGTAGGGACCATAAAAATACAGTAATGCACTCTCAGCTGTTGCAGTCCTACAAGTGGACAAACAAGGTAGAGACCATAGTTAGATAAGTCACATCTTTTATTGTTGCAGGCCTACAAGTGGACAAACAAGGGTTAGATAAGTCACATCTGTCATTGTTGCAGGTCTACAAGTGAACAAACAAGGTAGGGATCATGGTTAGATAAGTCACATCAGTCATTGTTGCAGGCCTACAAGTGGACAAACAAGGTAGGGATCATAGTTAGATAAGTCACATCAGTCATTGTTGCAGGCCTACAGGTGGACAAAGAAGGTAGGGACCATAGTTAGATAAGTCACATCTTTTATTGTTGCAGGCCTACAAGTGGACAAACAAGGTAGGGACCATAGTTAGATAAGTCACATCAGTCATTGTTGCAGGCCTACAAGTGGACAAACAAGGTAGGGATCATAGTTAGATAAGTCACATCAGTCATTGTTGCAGTCCTACAAGTGGACAAACAAGGTAGGGACCATAGTTGGATAAGTCACATCAGTCATTGTTGCAGGCCTACAAGTGGACAAACAAGGTAGAGATCATGGTTAGATAAGTCACATCAGTCATTGTTGCAGGTTTACAAGTGGACAAACAAGGTAGGGACCATAGTTGGATAAGTCACATCTGTCATTGTTGCAGGCCTACAAGTGGACAAACAAGGTAGGGACCATGGTTAGATAAGTCACATCTGTCATTGTTGCAGGCCTACAAGTGGACAAACAAGGTAGGGACCGTGGTTAGATAAGTCACATCTGTCATTGTTGCAGGCCTACAAGTGGACAAACAAGGTAGGGACCATAGTTAGATAAGTCACATCTGTCATTGTTGCAGTCCTTCAAGTGGACAAACAAGGTAGGGATCATAGTTAGATAAGTCACATCAGTCATTGTTGGTATTATAGTTCTCAAATGGGGTCCAGAGATTCTGACCTATGGAGCTGGCTGAAGTATTCATCTGTCTTGTCATTGAGTGACCTACAGCATCAGATCATTCATGTGTAACATCTGTCTTGTCATTGAGTGACCTACAGCATCAGATCATTCATGTGTAACATCTGTCTTGTCATTGAGTGACCTACAGCATCAGATCATTCATGTGTAACATCTGTCGTGTCATTGAGTGACCTACAGCATCAGATCATTCATGTGTAACATCTGTCTTGTCATTGAGTGACCTACAACATCAGATCATTCATGTGTAACATCTGTCGTGTCATTGAGTGACCTACAGCATCAGATCATTCATGTGTAACATCTGTCTTGTCATTGAGTGACCTACAGCATCAGATCATTCATGTGTAACATCTGTCTTGTCATTGAGTGACCTACAGCATCAGATCATTCATGTGTAACATCTGTCGTGTCATTGAGTGACCTACAGCATCAGATCATTCATGTGTAACATCTGTCTTGTCATTGAATGACCTACAGCATTAGGATCATTCATGTGTAACATCTGTCTTGTCATCGAGTGACCTACAGCATCAGATCATTCATGTGTAACATCTCTCTTGTCATTGAGTGACCTACAACATTAGGATCATTCATGTGTAACATCTGTCCTGTCATTGAGTGACCTACAACATCAGATCATTCATGTGTAACATCTATCTTGTCATTGAGTGGCCTACAGCATCAGATCATTCATGTGTAACATCTGTTTTGTCATTGAGTGACCTACAGCATCAGATCATTCATGTGTAACATTTTATCTTGTCATTGAGTGACTTACAGCATCAGGGTCAGTCATATATGTGTGTTGTCACTGAATGACCTACAACATGAGTGTCACTCACATGTAACAGCTGTCTTGTCACTGAGTGACCTGCAACTTTAGGTTCACTCATGTTTAACATCTGTCCTATTATTGAGGGACCTACAACATCAGAGTCATTCATGTGTAACACCTGTCTTGTCATTGATGGACCTACAACATCAGAGTCATTCATGTGTAACACCTGTCTTGTCATTGAGGGACCTACAACATCAGAGTCATTCATGTGTAACACCTGTCTTGTCATTGATGGACCTACAACATCAGAGTCATTCATGTATAACATCTCTCTTGTCATTGAGGGACCTACAACATCAGAGTCATTCATGTATAACATCTCTCTTGTCATTGAGGGACCTACAGCATTAGGGTCAGTCATGTATAATATCTCTCTTGTCATTGAGGGACCTACAACATTAGGGTCAGTCATGTGTTTCTTCTGCCTTGTCTTCATCAGATGCATGAGTTTGCTACTCAGGCTGTGACAGTTCTTGCCCAGAATTCACTCAAGCGAACAAGCTCACCAAAGTTCACCAGCTCTAAAATGTTGAAAGGAAGTATGCATGTTGCCTGCCATGTTCCACCTGCGTAAGTATCTTTCTTAGAAATGCTTCTGGTCTTGTCTTTTGAACCAGCCTAGTGTGCTAACTGAAACTTGTATGTCTACGAGAAGAACATTCATTTTCTCAGACTGACTGGTTGAGAAGATATTTCAGTAAGTGGTCGAGTATGTGAGCAGATCAGTTTGTTGCTGAACAGTGGGTTTGTCATTGTAGTTGTTCAGTGAACATCCTTCTATACGCTCACACATGAACATGTCAGCATAGATAATGCAGTATACATATAAGGCCAACAATTGTGAGACTTGACAAATGTTCTACAGACCATAGGGCCAACAACTGTGAGACTTGACAAATGTTCTACCGACCACAGGGCCAACAACTGTGAGACTTGACAAATGTTCTACAGACCATAGGGCCAACAACTGTGAGACTTGACACAAGTTCTACTGATTATAGCTCCAACAACTGTGAGACTTGACAAATGTTCTGTAGACCATAGGGCCAACAACTGTGAGACTTGACATATGTTCTACAGACAATAGGGCCAACAACTCTGAGACTTGACATATGTTCTACAGACAATAGGGCCAACAACTGTGAGACTTGACAAATGCTCTACAGGCCAAAGGGCCAACAACTGTGAGACTTGACAAATGTTCTACAGACCATAGGGTCAACAACTGTGAGACTTGACAAATGTTCTACAGACCATAGGGTCAACAACTGTGAGACTTGACAAATGTTCTACCGACCATAGGGCCAACAACTGTGAGACTTGACAACTGTTCTACAGACTGTAGGGCCAATAACTGTGAGACTTGACAACTGTTCTACAGACTGTAGGGCCAATAACTGTGAGACTTGACAACTGTTCTACAGACTGTAGGGCCAATAACTGTGAGACTTGACAACTGTTCTACACTGTAAATTTAAACAAAGAAGAGACTATCAATAGATTGCACAATTTATTGCCTGGCATATTTTGCTGTATCTCCTCAGGTGCATACTACAGTAACAATTACATAAATGAAGCAAATAAGTGAATCCTTTATAACTGAAGTACAATTTCAACAACGATCGCTTACGGCTGCCCTGGTAAAAACAGGCAATTATGTTGTGAATGTCGTTGAAACTGTACTTCAGTTATAAAGGATGTATATGCTTTATGTTTTGATATGTTTGTTTTTCAGAACAGTGGACCAGCTCATTGCCTCCCTGGTGCTTACCTACAAGGACATGGGTATGGACATTTCCATATCTCGACCACTGGGAAACTCCACTATCCTCCAGGTAATCTAGGGGCCAGATTTCTCTGGGGCATGCAGGTATGTTTGGATATTTCTCTTCGGCATGCAGGTATCTGAATGAACCAGCAAACAGATTTCTCTGGGGCATGTTAAGTGAACCAGCAAACAGATTTCTCTGGGGCATGCAGGTATGTTGGGAAGTGAACCAGCAAACAGATTTCTCTGGGGCATGCAGGTATGTTGGGAAGTCAACCAGCAAACAGATTTCTCTGGGGCATGCAGGTATGTTGGGAAGTCAACCAGCAAACAGATTTCTCTGGGGCATGCAGGTATGTTGGGAAGTCAACCAGCAAACAGATTTCTCTGGGGCATGCAGGTAATAAACATTGTGGCAGCACAAAAAGATCATTATAGTCTGGAGAGAATGGTACCGGAGCAAGTGAACTTTGTGGATGCACAAATAGATCATTATGGTCTGGAGAGAATGGTACCGGAGAGTGAACAATGCACAAATATCAGTATGGCTGGAGAGAATGGTACAGGAGCAAGTGAACTTTGTGGATGCACAAATAGATCATTATGGTTATGGTACCGGAGGTCTGGGAGATCATTATGGTCTGGAGAGAATGGTACCGGAGCAACTTTGTGGATGCATAAATAGATCATTATGGTCTGGAGAGAATGGTACAGGAGCAAGTGAACTTTGTGGATGCACAAATAGATCATTATGGTCTGGAGAGAATGGTACCGGAGCAAGTGAACATTGTGGATGCACAAATAGATCATTATGGTCTGGAGAGAATGGTACAGGAGCAAGTGAACTTTGTGGATGCACAAATAGGTCATTATGGTCTGGAGAGAATGGTACCGGAGCAAGTGAACTTTGTGGATGCACAAATATATCATTATGGTCTGGAGAGAATGGTACCGGAGCAAGTGAACTTTGTGGATGCACAAATAGATCATTATGGTCTGGAGAGAATGGTACAGCTAAAAGTGACCAGGGATCTGGTCAACACTATACTCAGAGAAAAGAAAAAAATCAAACCGTTACTTGCACCATAAGAATTAGAACTCTTTACTGGCTGCTGAAGTTGAGGATAGAGCACTTATGGGAATGCCCCGAGTTCCGTAATGTCCATTCTTAATTCAGAACTCAGCACTGTTCTGACCCCACAGATTTCCAAGTCCTGTGGAAGCTCCTCTTACCTATTGTGTTTCAAATCTGTATCAGTTTCCCCATCTGCATCTAGATAATTGCCTAAACAGATGAATGATTGCACATCTTGGAGAAGGGTTCACATGAAGAATTGGCTCAACTCTTTGAGGCCCGAGCAACGGTGTGAGAGTTGATTGAAAGTTTTGTTGTGCCCAAACAACGCTGTCATCCTCAGTCGTGTGTCCCGTACATATTGCTTTGCACACAGCTCCGTACTTGTTTCTAATGTTCAGAACTGCGATTAAATTATTCAGGTTAAGTCACTCTCTAACAATTGCCCTTTAACTACATCCTGTATGTAAAGCCACACGTGCATAGATTATTGGTCGGATTCATAGCTACATTTTTTCAACATTGCATTTTCTAAGTTTGTTTTTTGAGGACCATGAATGCCAGTGTTTCAAGTACGGGTTTCAGAATGCATCTTTCTGCAGCCGAATCTGTGAGATGTTTTAAATTCGGATAATGATCATGAAAATTTAGTTTTTTCAGAAAGTGATTCGGACGGTAAATTGTCACCAGCGAAGCTAAGCGATCAGCTGTTGGGAACGTACCGATTCTGATGAGTTTACACAGACAATGTCCCATACTACCGTATTTATGGTGTAAGAAAATTCAAGTGCTCCAAACAAAGAGACAGTACTATACTATGGCTAAGCTACATTAAAATCATTGCAGCTACAGTCTGTGTATAACTGTACAAAGTAAATAGTGTGTGTAATGGCCCATTTTTCTGCCATTTTTTCTCTGAAATTTTGCTCAGCACTCTGTGAGAACTAAGAGCTTCTGAATGCTAAACTAACCCAGAAACTTATCATAACTTTGGAATTTGTTAGGAAATTGAGAAACTATTAAGTTTTGTTCTCAAATTTGGATATTCACTACTCTTGTGGCTGCAAAACCATGATAAGTGAAGACTTTGTAAAATTTTGTTGTGAAATTAGTTAGTTAGTCTTTCCTCTTGTGTCGAGTGCTGCACATAGGGCAGAGGTCATGACTCTCCATGCATGGCGGTTCGTTGCAATCCGTTGTAGGTCTTGGATGTTTGAGTGGCCCATGAGCGAGCCTTCCCTGATGATAGTTCTACGTAGGGTTTCCCTTGGTCTTCCACGAGATCTTTTCCCCTGTGGTGTCCAAATGAGGGCTTGGTAAGGAATTCTAACATTCCAGTAACCAATTTTAAAGATGTCCTTCGAATTTAACAGATTAGAACGAATCATGATGCAGTTAGAGTCAGAAATCTGATTCTATAACAATTGGTGGTTTTGCGATGACAGCTTGTCGGACCGTCGATCAACCGATATGCGCCGAGTTAGAGAGAAACACGTCCCGCCATCTTGACACAAACCGGAAACCAGTTGTGAAATTAACACCTGCTAATTTCTTCTTTCCTACTAACTATAAAAAAATTAAACATACACTTATCATCAAATTCAAAAGTACATTAATTTCTCTTTTAAAAAAATATATACTTTTATACGGATTAGAAGTATATTACATTCTCTATTGCCTTTCTTGTACACCCACCCCTCTGAAATTTTTTTAAAGGTAAAATAATGTGGGCTAAGTCTGTCAAAATTCATGGGCCTGAAAGAGTTAATTTAATCAATGTTATTTTGTTCTGTCAGGTTGAGCTCTGTCGAGTTCTCAGAGCCGTTGTGGTTCTCCGTGGACTAATGATTGAGTGGGTCAAGGTCAAAGGCCTTGATGAAACATTTGAAAGTGATGACAGACAGGTTATTTTTGTTATTTGTCTTAATTATTTTTCCATGTACAGAGGTACATGTACAGACAAACAGGTTATTTGTCCATGTGCAGTTGTCACCGGATTATGCAAACTCTCCAGCTATCTTCCGAATAACAGTCCTAAATTATCAAGGCAAAAAATATGCCCTAACAGGGCCTCAGTCACAAGTCGCGCACTCCCGGGGACTATACCGCCACCGCCGCATTGCAAACTTCCGGCGAAGTCCGTCACTGCCGAGAGTATCCCCTGCGCGGCTCACGCAGCGTGGATTGGGGGCTAAACTAGATGGCTGGGACTCAAATGAGCAAATGAAATGAAGGCAGCTGCAGGAAATGCGGTAGCTGCTGCTCGTGAGTCCCAGCCATCTAGTTTAGCCCCAATCCACACCGCATGAGCAGCATGAGGGGATACTCTTGGCGGATGTCGCCTGAAGTGCGCAATTTAAGTCGCCGGAAGTGCGCAATTGACACGTGACTGAGGCTCTGTTAGGGTATTTTTTTGCCTTGATAATTTGGGACCGTTATTCGGAAGATAGCCAACTCTCCTGTGTGTGCAGACATTAGTAACGGTCTTCTGACGGTGGACACTCCTGTGTGTGCAGACATTAGTAACGGTCTTCTAACGGTGGACACTCTCCTGTGTGTGCAGACATTAGTAACAGTCTTCTAACGGTGGACACTCTCCTGTGTGTGCAGACATTAGTAACAGTCTTCTAACAGTGGACACTCTCTTGTGTGTGTAGACATTAGTAACGGTCTTTTAATGGTGGACACTCTCCTGTGTGTGCAGACATTAGTAACAGTCTTCTAACGGTGGACACTCTCCTGTGTGTGCAGACATTAGTAACAGTCTTCTAACAGTGGACACTCTCTTGTGTGTGTAGACATTAGTAACGGTCTTTTAATGGTGGACACTCTCCTGTGTGTGCAGACATTAGTAACAGTCTTCTAACGGTGGACACTCTCTTGTGTGTGCAGACATTAGTAACGGTCTTCTAACGGTGGACACTCTCCTGTGTGTGCAGACATTAGTAACGGCCTTCTAATGGTGGACACTCTCCTGTGTGTGCAGACATTAGTAACGGTCTTCTTATGGTGGACACTCTCCTGTGTGTGCAGACATTAGTAACGGTCTTCTAACGGTGGACACTCTCCTGTGTGTGCAGACATTAGTAACGGTCTTCTAATGGTGGACACTCTCCTGTGTGTGCAGACATTAGTAACGGTCTTCTAATGGTGGACACTCTTTTGTGTGTGCAGACATTAGTAACGGTCTTCTAACGGTGGACACTCTCCTGTGTGTGCAGACATTAGTAACAGTCTTTTAATGGTGGACACTCTCCTGTGTGTGCAGACATTAGTAACGGTCTTCTAACGGTGGACACTCTCCTGTGTGTGCAGACATTAGTAACGGTCTTCAAATGGTGGACACTCTCTTGTGTGTGCAGACATTAGTGACAGTCTTCTAACGGTGGACACTCTCCTGTGTGTGCAGACATTAGTAACAGTCTTTTAATGGTGGACACTCTCCTGTGTGTGCAGACATTAGTAACGGTCTTCAAACGGTGGACACTCTCTTGTGTGTGCAGACATTAGTAACAGTCTTCTAACGGTGGACACTCTCCTGTGTGTGCAGACATTAGTAACGGTCTTCTAACGGTGGACACTCTCCTGTGTGTGCAGACATTAGTAACGGTCTTCTAATGGTGGACACTCTCCTGTGTGTGCAGACATTAGTAACGGTCTTCTAACGGTGGACACTCTCCTGTGTGTGCAGACATTAGTAACGGTCTTCAAATGGTGGACACTCTCTTGTGTGTGCAGACATTAGTGACAGTCTTCTAACGGTGGACACTCTCCTGTGTGTGCAGACATTAGTAACAGTCTTTTAATGGTGGACACTCTCCTGTGTGTGCAGACATTAGTAACGGTCTTCAAACGGTGGACACTCTCTTGTGTGTGCAGACATTAGTAACAGTCTTCTAACGGTGGACACTCTCCTGTGTGTGCAGACATTAGTAACGGTCTTCTAACGGTGGACACTCTCCTGTGTGTGCAGACATTAGTAACGGTCTTCTAATGGTGGACACTCTCCTGTGTGTGCAGACATTAGTAACGGTCTTCTAACGGTGGACACTCTCCTGTGTGTGCAGACATTAGTAACGGTCTTCTAACGGTGGACACTCTCCTGTGTGTGCAGACATTAGTAACGGTCTTCTAATGGTGGACACTCTCCTGTGTGTGCAGACATTAGTAACAGTCTTCTAACGGTGGACACTCTCTTGTGTGTGTAGACATTAGTAACGGTCTTCTAATGGTGGACACTCTCCTGTGTGTGCAGACATTAGTAACGGTCTTCTAACGGTGGACACTCTCTTGTGTGTGTAGACATTAGTAACAGTCTTCTTATCGTGGACACTCTCCTGTGTGTGCAGACATTAGTAACAGTCTTCTAACGGTGGACACTCTCTTGTGTGTGTAGACATTAGTAACGGTCTTCTAATGGTGGACACTCTCCTGTGTGTGCAGACATTAGTAACGGTCTTCTAACGGTGGACACTCTCCTGTGTGTGCAGACATTAGTAACGGTCTTCTAATGGTGGACACTCTCCTGTGTGTGCAGACATTAGTAACAGTCTTCTTATGGTGGACACTCTCCTGTGTGTGCAGACATTAGTAACAGTCTTCTAATGGTGGACACTCTCCTGTGTGTGCAGACATTAGTAACTGTCTTCTTATGGTGGACACTCTCCTGTGTGTGCAGACATTAGTAACAGTCTTCTTATCGTGGACACTCTCCTGTGTGTGCAGACATTAGTAACAGTCTTCTTATCGTGGACACTCTCCTGTGTGTGCAGACATTAGTAACGGTCTTCTTATGGTGGATACTCTCTTGTGTGTGCAGACATTAGTAACGGTCTTCTAACGGTGGACACTCTCCTGTGTGTGCAGACATTAGTAACGGTCTTCTAACGGTGGACACTCTCCTGTGTGTGCAGACATTAGTAACGGTCTTCTAATGGTGGACACTCTCCTGTGTGTGCAGACATTAGTAACGGTCTTCTAACGGTGGACACTCTCCTGTGTGTGCAGACATTAGTAACGGTCTTCTAACGGTGGACACTCTCCTGTGTGTGCAGACATTAGTAACGGTCTTCTTATGGTGGACACTCTCCTGTGTGTGCAGACATTAGTAACAGTCTTCTAACGGTGGACACTCTCCTGTGTGTGCAGACATTAGTAACGGTCTTCTTATGGTGGATACTCTCTTGTGTGTGCAGACATTAGTAACGGTCTTCTAACGGTGGATACTCTCCTGTGTGTGCAGACATTAGTAACGGTCTTCTAACGGTGGACACTCTCCTCTAAAGAGGTGAATGCAAACCAATCTTGTTGCATTTTAATGACGAGCGACCTGTGGTGTTTGCAGTGTTGCTATGGAGCAGCCACCAGCTGCTAGATTTGTTCCTGTACAGTATGTGATGTCAGCCTGACTGACTCATGTTATTGTTCTTGTACAGTGTGTGATGTCAGCCTGACTGACTCATGTTATTGTTCTTGTACAGTGTGTGATGTCAGCCTGACTGACTCATGTTATTGTTCTTGTACAGTGTGTGATGTCAGCCTGACTGACTCAGGGTATTGTTCTTGTACAAACTGTATGAGATGTCAGCCTGACTGACTAAGGGTATTGTTCTTGTACAAACTGTATGAGATGTCAGCCTGACTGACTTATGGTATTGTTCTTGTACAAACTGTATGAGATGTCAGCCTGTCTGACTCATGGTATTGTTCTTGTACAAACTGTATGAGATGTCAGCCTGACTGACTCATGGTATTGTTCTTGTACAAACTGTGTGAGATGTCAGCCTGACTGACTCATGGTATTGTTCTTGTACAAACTGTATGAGATGTCAGCCTGACTGACTCATGTTATTGTTCTTGTACTGTGTGAGATGTCAGCCTGACTGACTCATGGTATTGTTCTTGTACAAACTGTGTGAGATTTTGGCCTGACTGACTCATGGTATTGTTCTTGTACAAACTGTGTGAGATGTCAGCCTGACTGACTCATGTTATTGTTCTTGTACAAACTGTATGATATGTCAGTCTGACTGACTCTTGGTATTGTTCTTGCACAAACTGTGTGAGATTTTGGCCTGACTGACTCATGGTATTGTTCTTGTACAAACTGTGTGAGATTTTGGCCTGACTGACTCATGTTATTGTTCTTGTTGTCGTATGGCAGTTTTGTCGCGCACCTTTACTAACGGAATATTTTCACAAATCCCTCAGGTGCTCTGAGACAGGAGTGTTTTGAATGGTGGCTCTGGTTCGTCTAGAGGCCTAACCCTTGGTTCAAACTTTCCCTTCAACCTATCTCAGGGATGAGGTGACTCGAGCTCTGACTCCACAGGGTTATTATGAACACTTGGGTACCTCTCGGCCAGATGTCCTCATCACTATTTTGCCCCCAGACTGGTACACAACATAAAACAGTCAAACAAGTAAACAACAGTGAATATGACAAGACGTGAATACCTCTCTGACTATGACAATTAATTCACCACAGCGACTTAACTAAGAACAGCAAGACTGGTGAACCATAAATTACTGTAATAATTACTTCATAACAAGAAAGATCAAAAGAAGCATAAAGAATTTGAATAATTGTTGAATTCTCCAAAGAACACAGACAGAGAAAGAGTCTTCCTTCTAATCTACGTCTCTTTCCGGTATCATCACAGCTGAGGTGTGGGACAGATTATAAAGGCCCATTTGGAATCAAGCTGCCTTTGAATGTCACACTGACTTATCTGTTTAGATCTTGTAGCTCCTCAGGATGCCGGAATGGAGTTTCAGACCCCCTCACTTCACAGAACGATTACACAAGAACGATGCGGCTTCTGGAATTGATCAAGGACAATCAACTCGAGATCGGAAGACGTTGACTCTAGTACCATCTACACATTCAGCAACAGCAATTCACCACACGTCAGTTGCTTCATGGGTGGTGGTAGGTGGAAGCATTCAGTTAGACCACGGACGCTCGTTGGATCTTCAGAAATCCTGAAAAACACAAGGCAACACCCATGAGCGAACCGTACCCAACGCACCTAGTTAATCAATGTCCTTACTACCTCCTCATGCTCAGATATACTTGAGGTTAGTCCAAACCATGAAAGTTGGTTACCTCTATCTTGGAATCCATTCAGTTTCCCAGAGTGAGCACTAGATCATTAACTCGAATAGTTTCTGAATTCAGTCCTGTAGCGAAAGCCAGACAGATCTCCATTATTTCCCATCCCTTTTAATATACCTTTTTCACTAATTGGAAAGATAAGGTATAGGAGATGAAGTCAAAACTAAGATCGAAGGAAATATGCTCTGAAAGTAGTACGACAGTCTAAGCTTGTTGTGGTTACGAAGCTCCTAGCAACAGCGGATATGACGTCATGCCTGACCCGAAGCTACTTGTCATTCACAACGGTTCAGCGACTCACCAAGTTCAGAGACCGAATAACAGCAAACTAATCATACAAAGTTAACAATACCATAAATACACTCCAGATATGTGGATTGATTGATCCGAAGAGGTTTAGAAGGCCGGTTCGAAGAATTCTCCGAGAAATTTCAGCTGAAAGTGCATTCCAATCCGGAGTTCTATTCGCCGTCCTTCATCGCAAGGATCGTAGACAAACAGATTCGCATTATCAATCTGCTGACCTTACTTACCCACACCACAGACACTCTGAGCACAAATATTCAATTCAAAAACCCTTATGAAAACTCACCCATGATAAATGGAAAGAGAATAAAGAATCTTGTCTTTTTAACGGTCAAGTGGCAACACAAAAGGAAATCGTCTGCCTCATAGACCAGACCATAGAGAAGTGACGCATAAAAATACAGTCCCCAACTACGGCAGTTGGTGTAAGAATCCTGCTCACGTATGCGGTGAAGTGGTCAGACAATTTATTTTAAATAGGCGTAGATTATGTGTCCTAACGTGTAAATCGACACTAAAAGCCTAAAAGAATCAATATCATAGTGAATTATAGGGATTTTTCTTATCTGGACTCCCCCACAACAAACGAACTATATAACTACGGTCGGCCTAACCTATATCATAGTGACAATGATGATTTTGGGGGTGTTCAGACTGTGGACCTGTCCAAGGCGGTAGATGTGTGTATTCTGTCATGCGACACTTGTACAAACTATGTGAGATGTCAGCCTGACTGACTCATGTTATTGTTCTTGTACAAACTGTGTGAGATGTCAGCCTGACTGACTCATGTTATTGTTCTTGTACAAACTGTATGACACTGACTGACTGACATTGTTCTTTTGTCACATTTGTCTATGAGATAATCATTGAATGTCCAAGGAAAATTAAATATCAGCAATGTCAATAATATTAGAAAGCAGCAGCACTAGGTGTAAGCAGCAGTAGGTGTCAGCAACACTAAGTGTAAGCAGCACTAGGTGTCAGCAGCAGTAGCTGTCAGCAACAGTAGCTGTCAGCAGCACTAGGTTTCAGCAGCACCAGGTGTCAGCAGCACTAGCAGCAGCGCTAGGTGTCAGCAGCACTAGGTGTCAGCAGCACTAGATGTCAGCAGCACTAGATGTCAGCAGCGCTAGGTGTCAGCAGCACTAGGTGTCAGCAGCACTAGGTGTCAGCAGCACTAGGTGTCAGCAGCACCAGGTGTCAGCAGCACCAGGTGTCAGCAGCACCAGGTGTCAGCAGCACTAGGTGTCAGCAGCACCAGGTGTCAGCAGCACCAGGTGTCAGCAGCACCAGGTGTCAGCAGCACCAGGTGTCAGCAGCAGCACTAGGTGTCATCAGCACCAGGTGTCAGCAGCACCAGGTGTCAGCAGTATGAAAAGGTGGAATGTTAAATCCTGGGGTCTGTTGTTGCTTTGATCTGATTTTGGATTGCCTCTGTTGCTTCAATGACCTCATTACAGAGACACAAACATGGCTGCCTAACTCGTTGTAGCGTGGATACTGAGACAACAGTGTACAATGATTGACCCAGTTCAGTGTGGATACTGAGACAACAGTGTACAATGATTGACCCAGCTCAGCGTGGATACTGAGGCAACAGTGTACAATGATTGACCCAGTTCAGTGTGGATACTGAGACAACAGTGTACAATGATTGACCCAGTTCAGTGTGGATACTGAGGCAACAGTGTACAATGATTGACCCAGTTCAGTGTGGATACTGAGGCAACAGTGTACAATGATTGACCCAGTTCAGCGTGGATACTGAGACAACAGTGTACAATGATTGACCCAGTTCAGCGTGGATACTGAGACAACAGTGTACAATGATTGACCCAGTTCAGCGTGGATACTGAGGCAACAGTGTACAATGATTGACCCAGTTCAGTGTGGATACTGAGACAACAGTGTACAATGATTGACCCAGTTCAGCGTGGATACTGAGACAACAGTGTACAATGATTGACCCAGTTCAGCGTGGATACTGAGGCAACAGTGTACAATGATCGACCCAGTTCAGTGTGGATACTGAGACAACAGTGTACAATGATTGACCCAGTTCAGTGTGGATACTGAGGCAACAGTGTACAATGATTGACCCAGTTCAGCGTGGATACTGAGGCAACAGTGTACAATGATTGACCCAGTTCTGCATGAATACTGAGACAACAGTGTACAATGATTGACCTAGTTCTGCATGGATACTAAGACAATAGTGTACAATGATTGACCTAGTTCAGCGTGGATACTGAGACAATAGTGTACAATGATTGACCCAGTTCAGCGTGGATACTGAGACAACAGTGTACTGTGAGTCATTATGTTTATCATCAGTGTCTGGTCATGGCAGTTCTGTCAACAATTTGTTGTCCTGTCACTGACATCTTAGTTTTTGACATGTCACGTATTTTCATCATCAGTGTCTGGTCATGTCAACTATTTCTGTGCCTTTTCCAGATGGATATTTGGTCCAGTTCCAGGTACCAGGTGTTTCAGAAGGTAACTATGACAGGCATTTGATTTGGTTAGTGGAAAAGGTCAGTTCAGCACGCTGAAGAAATTGGGTGTCCACCTACCCTACTGAGATTTATTGAGTCGTTCGACACAGCTATGAAAGGTACAATCAAGGAGTTTGTAATCAACAATGGAGTGAATGTTGAATTAAAAATTGACATCACAGCAATTGAAGCACTCAGTCTCCCCTCTTCAGTAGCAAGCAGAGAGTTCCAACTCTGATGCCACCAGGAACTGTCTGATTGTATGACCATCTCTAGCTTTGTGCCGCTAGGCGTCACAGCTCTATCAGATGATCGGCAACCGAGCCATGGCAGCGCTCAGTCGCTTCATATGCCGTGATGTTATGAAGTCTCGAGTTTCAGTGACTCCTTCAATCCATCTTCTTCTTGGTCTTCCCCTGCCTCTTGGTGTTCAATTTTCATGTTGTAATGCTCTTGATGCTGGCATCGTTGGTTCACATTCCTCATTAGGTGACAAAACCATTTCATTCTTTGCTTCTCAATAAATTTAACGATGGGTATGGTTCCAATGATTTTTCTTGTTATCACATCGTTTCTCACTTCGATCTCTTCATGGTTTTATTCGCAGCCATTCTCAAACATCTCATTTCACAGGTGATTTAGTCTTCTCTCGTGTTACTTTTGTTAATGTCCAAGTCTGACATTGATCACCTAAATGTCGGGTATAAAGATTGTATTTATAGTTTGTCTTTTTATCTCATCTGGGGACAGCAGGGTGTTTTAAATTGGGGCAAGCTTGATGTCTGTATGCGACCTTTGTTGACTTGTTGGATTCTTGCTTCGATCTCTCTGTCTATTTACACATTGGATGTAAAAGCCTTCTTGTACTGTCCCAAGTATTTAAATTCTTGCACTTGTTTTAGGCTGTGATCTAGAATCTTTATGAAAACTTTCGATGGTCTGTTGCTCTCTACTTATGACCTCATGACCTTCTGTCTTTTTCAGTATTGATCTTCATATGATGCTTGAGGCAACTTCCCGTGTAGTAGGTTTATTGTGACCTTGCAGCTGTTTACTATCATATGTGAAATATGCATTGATCGTCTCAACAACCACGAGCAGCTCTTTGAAAGTCTCTTGTTGTTTAATATCGACATGACCTGTTTTGGTGTTATGTACTATTTTATTAATATTGTCTCAAGAAATATTATGAAAAAGGAAAGGTCTTTTGTGACACAAATGACACACCTTGTCTTACTCCTGATGTTACTGGGAACCAGTCTGTGATGCCAGCTCTTGTTCTAATGGCGCTTTCACTTTGTCTATAATATATTTCTTACTTCTTTTGAAACATGCTTTTCCAGATTAGGAGGGTTGTATATTCATCCATTCTCGTTTGATGGCAGCTTTTACAGTGCTTATAGGCTGAAGGCTAGATGTCTAGTTTATTTGACACACATCACTGAATCTACTTCTAGCTAGATGTCTGATTTATCTGACACACATCACTGAATCTACTTCTAGCTTGGCATCTGATTTATCTGACATACATCACTGAATCTACTTCTAACTAGATGTCTGATTTATCTGACACACATCACTGAATCTACTTCTAGCTAGATGTCTGATTTATCTGACACACATCACTGAATCTACTTCTAACTAGATGTCTGATTTATCTGACACACATCACTGAATCTACTTCTAACTAGATGTCTGATTTATCTGACACACATCACTGAATCTACTTCTGATTTATTGCTCTTGAATATTGTCTTTTTTTATCTAACACACATCGACCTGAATCTCAACTTCTAGCTAGATGTCTGATTTATCTGACACACATCACTGACATGACTTACTCAATGAAGCTTGTTCTTGTCTGATCTCAAGAATCAGACACCAGCTCACTGAATCTTGCTCTTGATTTGTTGTGTCTTCACATGACACACCATGTCCCTGATTTATCTGACACACAGCACTGAATCTACATAGCCACTAGATGGGCTGATTTATCTGACACACTGCTGAATCTTTCTAACTATGTCTCACTGACACGACATAACTGAGTGATATTGCTATTGACACAGACACAATGAAAACTGGAATTACTCTTGTATGTTGTTGATGTCTATCTGACCATGACATGACATAGATCTATACTTGAAATACTTGCTCTTCTTGTTTTGTCCTGACAGACATCATGGACCTGACACAGCTCAATGAATACTTGTTCTTGTTGTTGTTGTGTCTCACAGACCATGACCTGACATAGCTCAATGAATACTTGCTCTTGTTGTTGTTGTGTCTCACAGACCATGACCTGACACAGCTCAATGAATACTTGCTCTTGTTGTTGTTGTGTCTCACAGACCATGACCTGACACAGCTCAATGAATACTTGCTCTTTTTGTTGTTGTGTCTCACAGACCATGACCTGACATAGCTCAATGAATACTTGCTCTTGTTGTTGTTGTGTCTCACAGACCATGACCTGACATAGCTCAATGAATACTTGCTCTTGTTGTTGTTGTGTCTCACAGACCATGACCTGACACAGCTCAATGAATACTTGCTCTTGTTGTTGTGTCTCACAGATCATGACCTGACATAGCTCAATGAATACTTGCTCTTGTTGTTGTGTCTCACAGACCATGACCTGAGCTCATGAAGCTCATCATGACCTGAACAGCTCATGAATACTTGCTCTTGTTGTTGTTGTGTCTCACAGATCATGACCTGACACAGCTCAATGAATACTTGCTCTTGTGTTGTTGTGTCTCACAGACCATGACCTGACATAGCTCAATGAATACTTGTTCTTGTTGTTGTTGTGTCTCACAGACCATGACCTGACACAGCTCAATGAATACTTGCTCTTGTGTTGTGTCTGTGTCTCAGCTCAAGATACTTGCTCTTGGTGTTGTTGTGTCTCACAGACATGAGACACAATGAATACTTGCTCTTGTTGTTGTGTCTCACAGACCATGACCTGACATAGCTCAATGAATACTTGCTCTTGTTGTTGTGTCTCACAGACCATGACCTGACACACATAGCTCAATGAATACTTGCTCTTGTTGTGTGTCTCACAAGACCATGACCTGACACAGCTCAATGAATACTTGCTCTTGTTGTTGTTGTGTCTCACAGACCATGACCTGACACAGCTCAATGAATACTTGCTCTTGTTGTTGTGTCTCACAGACCATGACCTGACATAGCTCAATGAATACTTGCTCTTGTTGTTGTTGTGTCTCACAGACCATGACCTGACATAGCTCAATGAATACTTGCTCTTGTTGTTGTGTCTCACAGACCATGACCTGACATAGCTCAATGAATACTTGCTCTTGTTGTTGTGTCTCACAGACCATGACCTGACATAGCTCAATGAATACTTGCTCTTGTTGTTGTGTCTCACAGACCATGACCTGACATAGCTCAATGAATACTTGCTCTTGTTGTTGTCTGTGTCTCACTTCTCCCTTGTTTTTTGTTGTGACCAGACCATGACCTGACATAGCTCAGTGAATACTTGCTCTTGTTGTTGTGTCTCACAGACCATGACCTGACATAGCTCAATGAATACTTGCTCTTGTTGTTGTTGTGTCTCACAGACCATGACCTGACATAGCTCAATGAATACTTGCTCTTTTGTTGTTGTGTCTCACAGACCATGACCTGACATAGCTCAATGAATACTTGCTCTTGTTGTTGTTGTGTCTCACAGACCATGACCTGACATAGCTCAATGAATACTTGCTCTTGTTGTTGTGTCTCACAGACTATGACCTGACATAGCTCAATGAATACTTGCTCTTGTTGTTGTGTCTCACAGACCATGACCTGACATAGCTCAATGAATACTTGCTCTTGTTGTTGTGTCTCACAGACCATGACCTGACATAGCTCAGTGAATACTTGATCTTGTTGTTGGGTCTCACAGACCATGACCTGACACCGCTCAATGAATACTTGCTCTTGTTGTTGTGTCTCACAGACCATGACCTGACACAGCTCAATGAATACTTGCTCTTGTTGTTGTTGTGTCTCACAGATCACAGACCATGCTGTAGCAGCTTCCCTACATTATTATGCTCCAGCCAAGCCGGACCTGGCCATCAAGTCCTATCTGGTATGTGTGGGTGGTGTGTGTGTGGGTGAAGTATTTGTGGGTACAGTATGTGTAATTGCGGTACATGTGGGTGTATATGTTTTGCTGTTGTTTCCTGAATGTAATTTGTGTCATTTATATCGGTGGTTTTAGTGTTCTCTTCATTTATTCATTGGCTCTTCTCATTGCTCTGTGAATGTTTATTGATCTATAAAATTGCTCTGTGAATGTTTATTGATCTATAAAATTGCTCTGTGAATGTTTATTGATCTATAAAATTGCTCTGTGGATGTTTATTGATCTATAAAATTGCTCTGTGAATGTTTATTGATCTATAAAATTGCTCTGTGGATGTTTATTGATCTATAAAATTGCTCTGTGAATGTTTATTGATCTATAAAATTGCTCTGTGGATGTTTATTGATCTATAAAATTGCTCTGTGGATGTTTATGGATTTATAAAATTGCTCTGTGGATGTTTATTGTTCTTTAAAATTGCGCTGTGGATGTTTATTAATCTATAAAATTGCTCTGTGAATGTTTATTGATCTATAAAATTACTCTGCAGATGTTTATTGATCAATAAAATTGCTCTGTGGATGTCTACTGATTAGTAAAAAAAAGTTTTTGTGACCTTCCATCATCATCATTATCACCAGTTTCTACTTCTACTGTTAAACTTTGTGGGAAGAAACAGTTTGCGATCTGTTGCTTGATGGGCACCAATAACTAATGTCATACCCATCAATGTAAAAGCTCTTTAACATTATCAATCCATATCCTCCTAGGGCTGCCTCTTGCTTTCACTTCAGACCTTTCCATGTGTAGCACCTGCCTTGGTTGTTGTTCTGGCTGCATTCTTACTAAATGACCAAACCATTCGATCTTCTGTTTCTCAGTGTATTTGCTGAATGATGTGGTTGCTACAGTCTGTCTGATAATATCATTTCTAACTTTGTCTCAGGGTTAAGTTGCTGGCTTTTTCTCAGTGTATTTGCTGAATTATGTGGTTGCTACAGTCTGTCTGATAATATCATTTCTAACTTTGTCTCAGGGTTAAGTTGCTGGCTTTTTCTCAGTGTATTTGCTGAATGATATGGTTGCTACAGTCTGTCTGATAATATCATTTCTAACTTTGTTTCAGGGTTAAGTTGCTGGCTTTTTCTCAGTGTATTTGCTGAATGATGTGGTTTCTACAGTCTGTCTGATAATATCATTTCTAACTTTGTCTCAGGGTTAAGTTGCTGGCTTTTCTCAGTGTATTTGCTGAATGATGTGGTTTCTACAGTCTGTCTGATATCATTTCTAACTTTGTCTCAGGGTTGAGTTGCTGGCTTTTCGCAGACATCTAATTTCACAGGTGTTAATTTTACGTAGGTTAGACTTTGATCATTTCCGAGGTCTGGCACTGATAGCGCAGTGTTGGTATGAATATGCTGTTTATAATTTGTTTCTGGGCCTCATACTTATGTTTGGATATCTTAACCCTACCAGACCTGAGGCCCTGAACCTAACTGTCCCTATAACCTGAGCTCCTGGGCATTACCGCAAAAAAACCAACATGATATACAAAAATATTAGTTACATGCAAACGAGTGGCTAGAATATGATGAAACTTGGAGACATTGTAGAAAATAGGCTTACCTTTTATCTAGCGCCAATATTCCACCTTTGTGTGTGAATTCACTCATCAGAATCAACTTTGTTTCACAAAGTGAACACCAGATTGATAATTTTCAAGATTTTCCTCATCATTTGCGCTCTCACTGACAGTATCACTTCAAGAACGTATTCTTTATGAAATTATCACAGATAGTGAATATATATATATATCACAGAGTGTGAATAAACCAAAGTATTGATCACCTGTTGGACTGTGAAAAGCCTAGAACTTGGTTCATCAGCTGCTCGTTTCATTGTTGATTTTCATAATTTTTCCACGTAAAACAACACGAATATAATCCACACATGCGGGCAGACATTTGCAATGTCTAACAAAGAGGATTGATAACGATTGGGTGGTTATTTTTAGTCCGTGACGCATCGTTTTCACATACTACGCCAAAAGCCGAAAATTAGGGCCAGCGGTATAGAAATCCCCGGTAAACCGGGCCAGCGGTCTGGTAAGGTTAATAACAGTGTCAGTTGGTGTATAAGTGCACTGGCTCATTGGCATCTTGTTTCTATTTCCTGATCTATTTTTCCATCCTCCAAGAATATACTTCCTAGATATTTAAATTCTGGAACCTGCTTCAGACAAGTAGCATTCAACCCGAGGATGTGTATTGGACTGGGAATTCTGTTGGCCTGTATTACTTCACTTTTAGTAGTATTTATTTTCATGTGATATCTTCTGCATGTTGAACTTAGCCTGTTTGAATGTTCTTGAAGTCTACTGCCCTGATTGTAGAGCAAATAGTAGCTTATTAATTGTGAGTGGATCTCATTCTTCCTCTGTATTTTCTTGGTCGACTGCTCTAAAGATGGCTTCTTTTGATATTGCTCCTATCAAATGTGTTTAATTCAAAGTGTCATGTTTATAGTGGTGTGTCTATAATGTTAAAGTGAGATTTTGCATATTTATGGGAGGTTATTATGTGGAAAAAAATTATAGCAGAAGGCATGGTACCAGGAAGGAGGTGCAGAAGCCGACCAACATGAAGATGGACACAGGATATAAGTGACTCCTTGAGTATACAAGTACATGAGGCGGGAGAGTTGGCGAAAGACCGAGTTTCTTTCAGGCAGATGTTCTGCAAAGGACCTGCTACATGATGATGTATTGTGTCATGTTTATAGTGGTGTGTATGTAATGTTCAAGTAAACTTTTGCATATTTATGGGAGGTGTATTATATTTAAACAAATGTCATGTTTATAGAAATATGTTATATTTTAATTCATGTCATGTTTACGGAGGTGTCATGTTTGTGGTTTTATGTGTATATATATATATTTAAGTGAAAATACGAGAAAGCTCAGGATGCAAGTGTACCTGGATATGAGGTCGAGTTGGCAGTTTTTTTTTTTTTTTGCACTAGAATGTGAGGTGAAATCCCTAATATAAGCTGTAGAGATAATTGTCAAGGTTACCTAACAGCATGTCAGTAAGTTTTAAATGGATTAGGTCACGTTAGCGTTGCTGAAGGAAGGCTTAAGCCAGCCGACAAGGCACTTGATGATGGACTGTAGAATCATGGTCGGATTTAACACCCCTTTTTCCGCTGCCAGCAAAAACAAACATCAGTGCCACACTTTGTGCCTGTTAACAAAACAAATATTATTTTGAAATAATTCGGGTGAATTTTGGAGGGCTAGAACAAATTAAAATTATTGACATTAATCTGAATGAGAAAAATAGTTTGAGGATATGAATTATTCACCAGATAGGCTTAGCCCTGAAGCTGAATAAATCTGTGTCCTGAGGTTTCACTGTGTATTTTTGTAGTGGTTGTCTGGTTGATGATGGTGTTTCTGTTGATGATGGTGTTTCTGTTTCTTCCTGCAGTTGTGGCTGCAAGGATACTCCACCCTGTTCTCATCGCCGTGCCACAAATGTGGCAGGTACCTACAGAACAATCTGCCTCCAACCTGGCGAGATTACCGCTCTAGAGAACCTTTTCATGATGTCTGCCGTGTGTAGTTGTGCGTTTCTGCTTTAGGTCAATGTGTGTGTGTGTGTGAGTTCCAGTCAAGATGGCATAGCAAGTGGAAACATTTTGAAAGGCAAGCATGTGAATATGAACACTAAAAGAGCACCATTAAACACAGCATTCTTACCCTGTGCTATAAATGTCAAACATGGATACTGTTTTCAGAAAACAGTAGGAAAATAGTCACAACAGAAATGAAATGTTCACATATGCTAGGTGTAACAAGGAGAGATCGAATTAGGAACGATGATGTCAGTAGGAGAGTCGACACAGAACCAATACTGACTGATATTGAGAGACAACAAGTCAAATGGTTTGGCTATGTAACAAGATTGGCATCAGACAGGGTACCACAGAGAGCAGTGTTACACAGAGACAGCAATAACAGAGCCAGAGTTGGACCATGCAGAATATGGACTGCATAAATATCTCAGACACAGAAAAGTACTTTATGTGAAGCCAACAGAAGGACCCGTTCTAGAGATCTCTTTCTGTCCTGACACTGAGACATTCCAGGAGTAGAGAAAAGAAGTGTGCTTGTCTGCTTGTGAAGTTGTTTAACTGATTATCAGTTTGTGTGTGAATGTGCTTGTCTGCTTGTGAAGTTGTTTAACTGATTATCAGTTTGTGTGTGAATGTGCTTGTCTGCTTGTGAAGTTGTTTAACTGATTATCAGTTTGTGTGTGAATGTGCTTGTCTGCTTGTGAAGTTGTTTAACTGATTATCAGTTTGTGTGTGAATGTGTTTGGGTGTAAAAGTGTGTGTGCTTCTTTATTTTAACAATACATAAATATGTAACTGAAAATTGAAATTGAGATCATGAAACAGTGTCAGCCTTATTTGTGTGTGTGTGTGTGTGTGAACTTGCTTAGTGATCTTGGGAAGTTAATGGTGTCATAGACTGGAGCACCAACAGTCGTACACTGTAGCACCGACAGTCGTAGACTGATAGAGAGTGTGTTTCTCCCACACAGAGTGACAACATAGTAAACTAAAAGCTTTTTATCTTCCCTGAGCACACCCTCTATGGGTAGATGCCCAGCTCAGTCTCTATTCCGATGTAAAGATGTGTACTAGAGGGAGATGAATGGTACAGGTGTTGTGGTGGATTTGTCAGACCAGGATGCCATGGACTGTGTTTCATGGAGGGAAGAGATCTGGAAGGAAATGAGGAACTAACGATTGCTTCCCCTTCCCCCAGGTTCAGAATAGAGCATTTATAGGAGAAACAAGTTCCAAACATATAACGGCAAAAATGGTCATGAAATAGTGTCCTTCTATTGTAGACTTGTCTAAACTGGAGCTGATCACATTGACCATCTCCAGATGCCTTGATTCCCCTGAGTTCTACTGCTGCAGTTACAGGTGTCCCAAAATGTCACACAGGTTCTCCTGTTTCTCTCAGAGACAAAACTGCTTCACTCATTATGTTGACGAGATTAAATTTTACTTCGGTCATCTGCCTTTGCTGTCTATTTGCTTCAGATAACTGTGTGACAGTCATCTGCCTTTGCTGTCTATTTGCTTCAGATAACTGTGACAGTTATTTCGTGATACTCTCTGGACAGTAGAATTGTAAGAGCTAATGTTCCAAACCTTACAATTAATGACAATAACAGTTAGTTAGTCGACAGATTATCCTCATTGCACGTCGAACCACTCAGTCCATAAGTGCTCGGATCCCCTCTTCAGTAAATCCTGCAGCGTGTAGCGGCTAACGACACCAGTTCTGTGTTGGTTTATTCTTCTTCCTTGGCTACCCGAGTAGTGTTCTTGTTTAGCGACACCCCGTTTAACATGTTGTTCTTGCAGTCTGACCATGGTTGCAGATTCACAGTTCTCAGTTGGTTCACGCAAACGTCTTAACTCTCTTAGTGCATTCAGTTTATCAGCCTGGCCCATGGCTTGTACGGCTTTTACAGTACCTAACCTGCAAGCCTATCAGCTTGCTCGTTTCCTTGTACCCCCACATGTCCTGGCACGAAAATGAAACGAATCCTTGTCAGCCGTGAATTCTGTAGAGCCACTAACCACTGCCTTTGGACGCAGCCCTTCTCTATCTTCCTGAGCATACTCATCGAGTCACTGAGAAAGCCTGCCCCAGTGAAAGTCTGTGTCTGTAGCCATGTTACTGCTTTAGTCTCAGCCATTACCTCCATAGTCAGACTACTTGTAGTTACAGCAGAAGCTCCAGAATCTTCCTTCACAACTCTCCATCCAATCTGAGCCGTGAAAGCCCACAAGCTTCTAACGTGGCGGATTACAGAACCATCTGTGTAAATGACAGCATCACCCTCTAGAGCGTTGTCGAAAATCAAGGCTTGAACTTCTGCTTCCACAGCAGCCGGACTCTGCATTTTTTGTCTAGTTAAATGCAACCAGAAAAAGATGTACAGCACTCTGAAGACATCTGCACCCACTCCTCGCCGGGTTCTATGTCCTCAAGTGAACATACCTGTAAAATAATGTCCTCGGCTTGATCCATCCATGATTTGCCTCTTTTTAACCTGTTGCCTTTTATCTTCTTGCTTTGACTGTAATGGATGTTTCGTGTCCGCCTTGACTGTGAGGTAGGCACGAGCTCAGGAAATGTGTATTCTGTCTTCCATGGTCGAAAAAGTAGCGCATAGCCCTGCATGCTGTATCTTTTGTACACCCAAGTATAATGCGCATAGCCTCGTTCTGTATCCTTTCCATCTGCTTATGGCTGAGAGTCAGGATCACCATCGCGTATTCAAAAACAGAAAGGACTAGACCCTTGTATAGAAGACACAGATGACGCTGCTCACAGTTTGCCACTGCCATCACTCTCATCGCAGCCAGACCCCGCTTGGCTTTCATTAAAATCCTATCTATGTGCTCAGTATAAGCAAGGCTTCGATCAAAATGTATCCCCAGGTATTTCATTGCATTCGTTCTTTCCACATCCTCAGACCACAGACTAACAGCTGGTGTTGGAGTTTTCACCATATGGTAATTCAAAGAGAACCATGTCACTGCCGCCTTCGTTGAGTTGACCAGTGCACCAGCTTCACCTCACTAAGTGGTTATGCGATTGAGCTCTTTTTGTAGTTCTTCAGCAACCTTCTTTCTTCCCTTACCCTGACGATACACTAACACATCGTCGTCATATGACAGTGTCCTTCCGGGTCCTGTGGTTTGCTCGCCTGTGATTCTCACTGTGTAAACGTTGAACAACACAGGAGATAATGGCGATCCTTGTGGCAGGCCGGGATGTATTGTTGTTGGTTCAGAAGTCCAAATGCCACATCTAAACACTACTTTTCATTGGAAGAGATCCAGGGAAGCAGGAATAGACTTATCTGGAGTTCAAGAAGCTGAGACATTAAGAAATCCCAAGGTGCTCTGTTGTACGCATCCTCGAGATCAATTGCCGCCGCACACGTTTCAATACCTGAGTGGAAGCCTTCATATACATCATGAGAAAAAACTGCAGCATTGGTCCATGTTTCTTTCTGTGGACGGTACCCTCCAAGAGTAGGTGGGAGAAGACCTCGCCTCTCAAGCTGATGTGAAATTTTTCTGGCGATGTGGAGGCTACAAAAACCGTGCGGTGAGGAGGCTACAATAGTCGTGCGGTGTGGAGGCTACAATAGTCGTGCGGTGTGGAGGCTACAAAAACCGTGCGGTGAGGAGGCTACAATAGTCGTGCGGTGTGGAGGCTACAAAAACCGTGCGGTGAGGAGGCTACAATAGTCGTGCGGTGTGGAGGCTACAATAGTCGTGCGGTGTGGAGGCTACAATAGCCGTGCTGTGTGGAGGCTACAATAGCCGTGCGGTGTGGAGGCTATAATAGCCGTGCGGTGTGGAGGCTATAATAGCCGTGCAGTGTGGAGGCTATAATAGCCGTGCGGTGTGGAGGCTACAAAAACCGTGTGGTGTGGAGGCTATAATAGCCGTGCGGTGTGGAGGCTATAATAACCGTGCGGTGTGGAGGCTATAATAGCCGTGCGGTGTGGAGGCTACAATAGCCGTGCGGTGTGGAGGCTACAATAGTCGTGCGGTGTGGAGGCTACAATAGTCGTGCGGTGTGGAGGCTACAATAGCCGTGCGGTGTGGAGGCTACAATAGCCGTGCGGTGTGGAGGCTACAATAGCCGTGCGGTGTGGAGGCTATAATAACCGTGCGGTGTGGAGGCTACAATAGCCGTGCGGTGTGGAGGCTACAATAGCCGTGCGGTGTGGAGGCTACAATAGTCGTGCGGTGTGGAGACTGAAATAGCGGTGCGGTGTGGAGACTGAAATAGCGGTGCGGAGACTGCAATAGTCGTGCGGCGCGGCGTCTGCAATAGTCGTGCGGCGCGGCGATTGCAATAGTCGTGCGGCGCGGCTACTGCAATAGTTGTGCGGTGTGGGGACTGCAATAGTTGTGCAACGCGGAATCTGGCCCAAGTTCCCCCCCCCCCCCCACTGCCCGTACCGCTTATGTGGTGAATGCAGGCAGTACTGGTACACTTAAACTGAACTGGAATGTTTCTATAAATTGACTTAGTATCGATATAGGTAAAGATGTGTTGAATCTTCCCTTAAAAACAGCAGCAGGCAATCACAGTTTTCCTTTTTAGGGAATAGTTTACATAATTGCAAATCTTTGGATGGGTTCGAATCCTTGCTAAGGTTGGGGATGTTTTTGTCGGGGGTAAAACTAAATTCGACATCAGCACTGTCCGCAGCCAAGCGGCTCTAAATCCCTAGGCTCAGAAACCCCTCCCCCCCCCCTTTTTTTTTTCCACCCCACCACACACAGAGACACACACACACAGACACACACACACACAAAGTGGTAACAATCGGCCAGTTTGTGTATTTTGTCTTGCAGTCAGTCCTATCCTGATCTACAAACTCCTATATCGATTCTTTACTGGCCTCACAAGGTAAGTCACGTGTTTACATCTGGTGACCCACTTAGCTTTTGACCCCCTTCTAATCTCCCCAGTACTCGTGATTCTGCCGCAGATGCTAACAACTAT